ATATATATATAAAACAATTATCTTTTATTAGTGGTAAAACTTTTCATTAGAATATTTACCACAGATACATATTTAAAACAAAAATTCAATATTATTTATTAAATTATAACAAACTCGTACTAATTAATTCTCGTGATTCTATGATATTTAAATAGAATTATTTTTATCCATTAAAATTAATTACGATGACAACATAAAAGTTTCAACTTAAGATTAAGTGTATATTAATTATATCAATTTCTACAACATTATGAATGGCAATAATTGCATAATTGGAATTCTTTTCTATCCGAATCTTAAATTTTTTTATTTTTTATCTTCAGCTTTAATTTAGAATCATATCCACCAGGTGTCATTAATTTATGAAAAATCTTCACGGATACACTTTGACTCAATTCAACTCTCTCGCTTCCAATTATGAAAACGCACCCTCAAAGGAGAAAACAGAACATGATCTAAAAGATAAAATTTCATATCTGCCAAATAATAATATAATATAATATAATATAGATAAAGAGAGAGTCTTGCTATTTGGATATATGCCTATATAACTCCTCTCATCGTGGCATTTCCAAAATCATAGACACCATCATCCCCATAAACACAATTAATTAAGTCCTAGTGAGATAAGAGAGAAGATAAAAAAGATCAAAATGTCTGTGTTCATCCCTAATAGAATGCCTGGATCGTACAAGTCCAAGAGCCTGCCTCCGAATATAATCACTGCTGAAAAGAAAATAAGAGATACATTGAGAAAAGCAGATTTTGATGGAGACGGTTGTCTGAACAAGGATGAACTTGAGAAAGCTTTCAAGGAATTTGGTTCCAAGTTACCGGCATGGAGAGCTGGCCATTTTCTCAAGAAAGCTGACACCAACCACGATGGATTACTCGCAGGGGAAGAACTTGACATTGTTGTTGATTTTGCTCTTTCTAATTACAAGTTTAAGAAATAAATATGATGATCACGTTCAAGCCTTATGGTTTTACTACATCTGCAAGCACCTCAACAAAGTTATATGTATATATATTTTAACTATGTTTTATTAGTACGACTTTGTTGATAACTAACTTGTATTAAATTGTGTGTATGCACATATGAGTAAAAGATGAGGTAGATATCATGAGCTCACCTCTGTATAATTAAAACTAGGATGGAAACATGTTTAGGTGTTGTTCGGGTTGATAACGTAACCCATATTAGGTTTAGGTCAAAGACATCAAGTGTAGCCGGACTTGTTTATCATGGGTGTATTTTTAAAGTCGGATCAAGATAAGTTCAAGTTATTTAGAGTTTATCGGAACTTATCTTATCGAATGATACAAGCATTTGTGTTGAGTGTTTGGTTGTGATAATTTGATAAGTTATTTTAGTTTATTTTAATAAATTCACTATACTAACTTAGAGATAAAAAGTTTTAACTTATATGAAAATAATTTAACAACATTTCTCTTTAATTATAAAAACAGCTTGTACATAAGAATTTTAATGATAAAAAATACATATTGTTTTTGACGTTTTAAAACTTAAAAAGGTCATAAAGTCTTTCTATCCTTACAAGTTGACCTATTTACGTAAGTATAAGAAAATTAATAAAAAAATTAATTTATATGCATTGGCATTTTAAAATATTTTTAATAAGCATCTATTAATTTTGTGTCATGTCATATTAATAAATAGGATGACAATACAAAATAATCAAATTTTATTTGATATTTAAAAATATTATATATTATACATAAATGTAACTTTATATATATATATATATATATAAATATATATATATATTAGTATCATATTAAATATTTCTTACTTAATCTCCCCTTAAAATTCATAGTTGTAGATATATATATATATATATATATATATATATATATATATTAGTATCATATTAAATATTTCTTACTTAATGTCCCCTTAAAATTCATAGTTGTAGATTTATGAGATAAAACTCACATATACAAATGAAACATTTTCTCCTTTTTCTTTCTCCGCACACACACATGCACACTTACTTTTTTTTTTTTTGTTAATATACTTTATCTCCTTTTTGATGAGAGGAAGTATTTTAACATTATATGCCAAGATTTTTGAAAATAGAAAAAAAAAACATGCAAACTTCATTTAGAGGCATGAGCTACATATATTACATTTTTTTATTTTGTAATATATATATATATATATATAGTAAGTCAATTAAAT